TAGCTGCAGATGCTGACTAAGCAATTTGCTGGTGCATGGCACAGAGCAGGTGGGACCCACACAGAAAAATGTCTTACAGTTTATTGTTTTTTAATACTGAAACTTTAAATACAAAATGACCCTCGATTTTTGTCAATTTCATCTGTGTATATCTAGCTTCCTCATAATTTGTACAACCCAGAAACTCAAAAAAGTAGAAATTTAAGAGAAAAATATATCTGAATGAAGGATTGAAACAGCTAATGGGAGGAGTGGCTCAGGCCAAAGAAAATTCAGGAATTATCATTCTTTATTCATTTAAAACAAAGGACTCTCTGTATAACCAGCGTGGTCCTCTCTTCATTGCAGGTCAACAGTGAACTTTGTTTTGCTTTCACATTAAAAATTAGTTGATTGATTTTCATTTATTTTTGTGAAAGGGAGAGAGAGCAAGATCTCCCATCTGCTGCTGCACCCCTCAAGCGCCCACAACAACCAGTGCTGGATCTGGCTGAAGACAGGAGCTAGGGCTCAACCCTGGTCTCTCATGTGGGTGGGAACCCAACTACTTGAGCTATCACCTGCTTCCTCCCAGAGTCTGCATCAGCAGAAAGCTTAAATTGGTAGCAGAGCCAAAACTTGAACCCAGGCAGTCCAGTATGGTGTGTGGGCATCCCAAGCAGTGTCTTGAGCACTATACCAGAAGCCAGCATTGTGAAGCAGTGGGTCAAGCAGCTGCATGTGACGCTGGCATCCCATATGAGCACTGATACAGGTCTTGGCTGCTCCACTTCCAACCCAGCTCCCTGCTCATGCTCCTTGGGAAAAGCAGCAGAAGATGGCTCAAATATTTGTACCCTGCCATCCATGTGGGAGACCTTGATGGAGTTCCAGGCCCCTGGCTTCAGCCTGGCCCAGCCCTGGCTGTTGGGGCCATTTTGAGAGTGAACCAGTGGATGGAAGATATCCATTTCTCTCTCTCAAACTCTGCCTTCCAAATAAATAAAATAAAGAAATTTTTTTGAAAAGATTTATTTATTTATTTGAAAGGCAGAGTGAGAGAGAGGCAGAGAGAGAGAGAGAGAGAGAGAGAGGTCTTCCATCTGCTGGTCCACTCTCCAGATGGCTGCAATGGCTGAAGCTGCACTGATCCAAAGCCAGGAGCCAGGAGTTTCCTCTGGGTCTGCCACGTGGGTGCAGGGGCCCAAGCACTTGGTCCATCTTCTACTGCTTCCCCAGGCCATAGCAGAGAACTGGATTGGAAGAGGAGCAGCCGGGATTTGAATCAACACCCATATGGATACTGACAATGCAGGCAGCAGCTTTACTCACTACACCAGCCCCCCAGTAAAGAAATTTAAAAAAAAAAAAAAAAAAAAAAAAAAAACCACCCACAAACACTCCAGCAGTGAATTTTTAAAAAGAAAATTAAAGATTGATTTATTTACTTATTTAATTTCAAAGGCAGAGTAACTGAGAGGGGGCAGCCATCTCCCACTCCTTTCCCAGTGCATTAGCAGGGAGCTGGATTGGAAGAGGAGCAGCAGGGACTTGAACCAGTGCTCATATGGGACACCGGCATTATAGGTGACAGCTTAACCCACTGCACCACAATGCCGGCCCCCAGAAGTGAATCTTAATTAATTACAGTGTATATGGATGTACAAGTGTTTGGGGAAAGGAGTCTAAATATCTCTATTTTCCTGGCCAAACAGGCTAGGGAATTCATTCACTCAATCATTCAGCTATATTTATTGGGCTCCTACTATGTGTTGTAAGTCTTGGGGTTATGGTAATAGATAAAACTAATGAAAATCCATGCAATCTTAGAATTCATATTCTGGTGAAGAAGATAACCAATAGAATAAATGGAGTCTACAGCAAGTCAGATAAGCTGTATTGTAAAAAAAAAAAAAAAAAAAACAATCAAAGCGGGGATGTCTGGGGCTGGGAGGGATAGATGGGGATGCAATTTTAGATAGTGTAGCCAAGGATCCCTCAGGGACAGGTGACACTTGACTAAAGACCTGAAAGAGCTGAGAGAATGAGGCACCAGGTGTCTGGAAGGGCAGTGCTCCCGACAGAGGGGACAGCAAGTGTAAAGGCTGGAGGCAGGACTGTGTCTCAAGCACTCAAAGAACAGGAAGCAGTCCTTGTGGGTGGAGTGCATGGGAGAGCATTGGGAGGACAGGTGGAAATGGAGGGAGGGCAGGAGCAGATGAGTCACAGGGGGCCTTGAAGTCACAGTAAGAACTGTGGCTTCTGCCGAGGGGCCAGCAAGGATCCCTAAGAAAGACCTGTGATAGATGTGTGGCCTCTTCCAGACTTGGCCAGAGGCCAAGGAATAGGCAGAGGGACACACTGGGGGGCTGTCGCTGTAGCTCAAACAAGAGGTGACCCTGTCCTGGCCAGGACGCTGGTGAATCTGGATGTATTTTGAAGATAGAGCAAACAGGAGTCCCTAAGTGGGACGTAAAGCAAATACTAAGAATTACAGGTGACCTAGGGGTTGGCCTGAGCAACTGGTATAGAATTTTCACTTTTCTTTTTAATTTTTTTTTTTATTTTTTGACAGGCAGAGTGGACAGTGAGAGAGAGAGACAGAGAGAAAGGTCTTCCTTTGCCGTTGGTTCACCCTCCAATGGCCGCCGCGGCCAGCGCGCTGCGGCCGGTGCACTGCGCTGATCCGATGGCAGGAGCCAGGTGCTTCTCCTGGTCTCCCATGGGGTGCAGGGCCCAAGCACTTGGGCCATCCTCCACTGCACTCCCTGGCCACAGCAGAGAGCTGGCCTGAAAGAGGGGCAACCGGGACAGAATTCGGCACCCCGACCGGGACTAGAACCAGGTGTGCCGGTGCCGCAAGGCGGTGGATTAGCCTAGTGAGCCGCGGCGCCGGCCCAAATTTTCATTTTTCTGAGACAAGAAATATGAGAGGCACAGGTTTGCAGGGAGCTCACTTCTGGAATTGTAAGACTTGAGCCAACTCTCAGATATTATACTCATTTTCTGTGGGTGCCCTAACAAATTATGTGAAACAACAAGAACTTATTCTCTCACATTCTCACAGCTGTTTCACTGGCGCTGGTTTGGCCATGCTCCCTCTAGGGGGCTCTCTGGAAGAATTTCCTGCTTGTTTCTTCCACCTTCTGGCAGAAGCTGGAGGTCAGGCAGTATCGGAGATAGATGGAGGTGTAGGTGAAAGCATGCAACATTTCAGTTGTGCAAAATAAGCTCTGGATATATATTATATAACAAAGGGCCTACTCCTAACAATATTGTGTACTTAAAAACGTGCTAAGAGGGTAGATCTTATGTAGAACATAAAGAAAACAATAACAGGGGCTGGCGCTGTGGCACAGCAGGTTAACACCCTGGCCTGAAGCGCTGGCATCCCATATGGGCTCCAGTTCAAGACCCGGCTGCTCCACTTCTCATCCAGCTCTCTGTTACGGCCTGGGAAAGCAGTAGAAGATGGCCCAAGTGCTTGGGCCCCTGCACCCATGTGGGAGACCTGGAAGAAGCTCCTGACTCCTGGCTTTGCATCAGCATACCTCCGGCTGTTGCGGCCAATTGGGGAGTGAACTATTGGATGGAGAACCTCTCTCTCTCTCTCTCTGGCTCACCTTTACTCTGTGTAACTCTGACTTTCAAAATAAATAAATAAATCTCAAAAAAAAAAAAAAAAAGAAAACAATAACAACCAGAGGGGTAGGAGGAAGCTTCTGGAGGTGATGGATAAGTGTAGGGCCTTGATAGTAATGATGGGGTTTGGCGGTTTCACAAGTGACATACTTATGGCCAAACACATGAATATATTTAATTCTCTACAGCTTTTGGCATGTCAATCATATCTCATTAAACAGTTTGAAAAAAAAGGAAAGAACAAAAGAAGATGTCCCAAAATTAGGTCTGGGGTCCTGCAATGTTCAAAGGTCTGGAATATCTGGAGAAATCAGCAGACAAAACTGAGAAGAGCTGGAGGAGTGGGAGGAAAACCAGGAGGTTTCTGAGAGCTGAGCTAAGAACGTTTCTGACACATCAGAGAGAGATCTGCATCAAATGCTTCTAATGGGTCAAGCAGAAAGAGATCTGAGCACCAGATAGAGGAATACAGAAGTCACTATTGATGTTGACAATAGCAGTTGGAAGGGCCGGTGCTGTGGTGTAGCAGGTAAAGCTGCCGCCTGCGGTGCCGGCATCCCATATAGGTGCCAGTTCAAGTCCCAGCTGCTCCACTTCTGATCCAGCTCTCTGCAATGGCCTGGGAAAGCAGTAGAAGATGGCCCAAGTCAAGTCTTTGGGCCCCTGTACTCGTGTGGGAGACCTGGAAGAAGCTCCTGGCTCCTGGCTTCGGATTAGCCTACCTCTGACCATTACAGCCATTTGGGGAGTGAACCAGTGGATAGAAGACCTCTTTTTCTCTCAGTTGGAATGCAGAGATGGGGACAAAAGTCTGTTTGCAGAGGTTCTTGGGAGAGAATAAGAGCAGGAACTGGAGACAGAAAGCTCTCTCAATTTTTCAAGGCAATAATTACTCAACAGAATCCCTTTTCCTGCCCCAACTTCTAGAGCCGTAGAGACAACGGCCATTGGAACTGCTCTAACCGGACTTCTAGGATCCAGTAGACACAAGATGGATTCAAAATTTTGCCTCCTTGGTTGTTTTGCCTGAAGTCTACCTTGTGAGTCCTTCTTCCAAACACCAACACTGACTACACTCTGAAAACTCCCGACAGAAGGCTTGTCCCTGAAGTCGAAACCCTTAATCCCCACAGTCAGATGGACCACGCGCTCACACAAGCCCTTGATACCAGTGAGGATGGCTTGACCCTCACAAATGCCCCATACAGGCCCCTCCCCTCCCCTGGAAGTTCTTTAAATCACAAGACTGCTAAGCTGGTGGGAGTCAATGCACTTTTATATACATACTCTGCAGATGTAGAGCTAATTAACCTCAAACTAGGCAAGTTTCCAATTCTTTCAGAAAGGTTTATTTATGCTCAGCGTAACTCAGGGCGATGACTGCAGCTTCTGATTTTAATTCCAGGGTTGAGAAAGTGCAAGGCATTACTTTCATGCTAATGAGAAGAGGCATGAGTGGATTAGCACCAGCTTGCCAGGAGTTAGTTTAAGAGAATCCTAAGGTTCTCTCCTGGATTTCTAGAGGATAGAGCAGTCTACTTACCTTGTCATAATGGTGACATTTACTAGGACACCAGATGGTCCTCCAACCAGACAGGAGGGACGAGGGACGAGGGACGAGGATCCCAGAGGTGGTCGAGTGCTTACTCTGTGGTAAGTAGAGCGCCCCCGACACTTTGCGTGCATTATTATTTAATCCTCTCAAGAATCCTGGGAAGTGCTTGCTACCATTAGCCTTTTTTTACAGGTGGGAAAAATGAGACTCAGTGAAGCTGCAAAGGTTGATGCCTTTGTCATGGGAATTGTACGTAACGGCAGGGGCACGGGCAACAGAGCAGTGTCTATCGAGGAGAGCTGCCCGCAGCTCAACACAAGAAATGGATCCGGGGCCTTGGGAAGAGGTCTGGCAGGCTGAAATCAGGCTGCTTCATGGCCCTGCATTTGAAAATGCCTTGGCAACAGCCAGTGCCCTTTAAAATTCTCAACTGAAAAAAACAACTGAAATGCTTCGTGGATGAAACCCAGAATCACAAAAGGCATAGAAGGTATGGGGCAAAGGGTTGTTTTTCTTTCTTTCTTTCTTCTTCTTCTTTTTTTTTTTTTTTTTTAAATAAAAGAAACCTTGTAAATACACAGACATTCATTTCTGGACAGAGCAGTTCCGTGCACTTGTTGAAGGAGGCTGGGTTGGGTTCTGAGCTCAGCTAGACTATGCATGCTAGAGAAGGAAGAACAAAGGGCACCTCCCTGTCCCCACAGCCCACGTGCCCAGTGGGATTTCTTTCTTATGGTGGTGTTTTTAATGAGCTGAAATTTAACTCAGTGCTGCTACTAAGTACTCCAAAGAAATGGTTCCTGTGAGGCTAAGATTGGCATATGAAGGCAAGAGCTGTAGTTCTCCAGAACCTTAATAGGCTGTCCACGGCCAGAGCAAAGCAAGGTTGTAAAGGCTTTCTTATGGTTCTTTTTATTGACACCTTCTTCATCTGGGAATTCCCAGACAACCCCGGGTGCCTGCTGTTCTCAAGTAATCTCAGCCACCAGGCTCTTGCACAGACAGGGCCCCTCCCTTGTACTTCCAGTCCATGTATGATCCAGTGACCCCCTGACAAGTGGGTGCTAACCAAGCACTCGGGGAGGGAATCCACTTATAAGTCATCTTCACAGATCTGGTAACTGTTGACTGGGAATTAGTTACCCAGGCCCCAGTGAGGAACAATAAGACAAGCAGGACACTCTGAAAAGTTTGCTTTTTCTACCCCAACCCAAAGAAAAGGAAGAAGGGGATAGGATAATGCAGCCCAAGGTCTGGCCAAGTTTACAGAGACAGCTTGTCCGAAAACATACACAATACACAATACTCCAAGGATTTGTTTGATGTCGAAATGTTTTCTTGAATGAGATTCACAAAAGGAATTATTGTTGTTTGGCATTCCTTCGAGTTCCTGAGGCCACAATGACGTGTGAGTCACTGTGCGTGGGGCTGCGCTAGCCTTGACCACAGCCATGAGCCGCGTGTATTCATTTGTGAGTCTTCACAGCTACTGTGCCTTGTACTTAATTCAGTCATTTAAACTCGGGGAGGAAAGAGGCAACGCTTTGTGGAGATTTGCCCAGTGTTTTGTTTTTGTTGGTTTGTTTTTTTGTTTTGTTTTGTTTTATTTCAGTAACTTTAAAGAAAATTTCCCAACGTGTGATTCTTTTACAAAGCATCTGGTCTCTTAATAAACTCTCCGTAAACTGCAGCAGAAGGGCAGTGAACCCTGAGATCTCGCTCCGGGGTTTACCAAGATAAAGTGCAGGCTGCATGCAAGAACAAAGGCTGGGGCCATTAGCTGCTGACCTGGCCCCCAGTCCCCAGCCAGGGTGAACAAAACCAAACCCAGGGTCCACGGCGTGAGCCAAAGGTCTCTGAGTTCCTGTCCCTCCAGTTTATATTTGTGAGTCTTGCCTGTTACCATGGGGACAGAAGTCCTGCCAGGGAGAGAACTATTGTTCTGCATGACTGACAAGGTGCCGGGAAGCATTCTTTTTCTCAAATCGCGACTGTAATTTCTAACAACAAACTCTGAATATCTGTAATCATTTAAGAGCAGAAAGGAATGAATGAGCTGCATTTCAGCTCCTTTTCCCTTAGAATTTCCTTTGTAGTTTTCCCTTTTGAGGGAAATTATAAATCAGGAAAGCGAGTTCTCAGTTCGAGATGTAAGCCAACTTATCTCCTCTGCATCACTGCCAGCATGGAATCCAGAAACTCTCCACTGGGTTGAATGGCAGCTGGGGGAGAGCTGCGTGAGATTTGTGAAATGCCCTCGGTGCACCCAGATCCACTTCCCTGGGGATCTTAGAGCTGGCAGGGCCTTCATACCCCCGACTGCATGGACCCAACTGCTCCGAGGCAAACTCCCTGCTTCCCCGTAGGGACAAGGCCACGCCACCACCCTCCCAGCCTCCTCCTGGGAGCTGATTCCCTAAAGACTTCTTTGACCATGCAGATACATTCTCATTTACATTCAGGCACATACACCCACAGGCTGATCGACAGAGCCTCACCATGAATTGCATGATAAATAATACATGCAGACAAAGACAACACCCGCACTTATTTGCAGATGAAAGAACACTAGAAATTATTTCTGATGGAAATATAAAAGATTAAATTCAAGCAGGGAGTGGGGGAGGAAGTATATTTTAAAGCTTCATAAGAAACAACCTCATTGTTTCCCTCTCAGAAACGACACTTTCTCTCTGGAGTTGGGAATGCAGTGGGCACTAGGAACCCAGGCCCCAGTGGGAGACGCCTGTCCATGGAGGATAGACCGCAGAAACCCAACTTCAATCTAAGAACGCCTGATGGACAGGGAGCCGGCGATCTCTCCCCTTCTGCTGGTGATCTTCTACTGAGGCACTGTCCTCTTGACACCCTTGCTCTATATTGCTACACTAACTGTCCCACTGTCCTGTCTTCCACAGCCATGGGAGAGCACTGGGACTAGGAACCAAGTCCTAAGAGTCGCTCGCTGGACTCTGCGCTCCTTCTGTGGAAGCTGGGAGCCAACGGGAGAATACACGGAATACCAATGGCTCAGGAGTCTTGGGAGAGCCTGCCAAGGACACAGGAAAACTGAGATGAGAAAGGGAGAGCCACAGATTCCTACCCACGTAGTGTGCGCTCCTGGACTCAGCCGCCCCTGAAGCTGCACTGCCCTGGACATTTCGGTTCCGAGAGCCAATGAATTCACTCCATGCCTAAATCTGTTTCAATGGACTTTCTGTCAGTCAGCACTCAGCAAGGCGGGCCTGTGGCTCCACTCACATACCAGGGTGGTGTCACTGTGCAGTGGAATTGGCCCTGACTTAGGATTCATGAAGGGAGACTAGGGGGAGCTTGTCACCTTGCACCTAAGGGGAGGGGTGTCAGACAGCCCAGCAGAGGCCACGGCCAAGCACCTGGGCCTCATCTCTCTGGTGTGATTCCAGCTTCACCTTATGAGGATAAAGTTCCCAAGGGGACTGGAGTGAGGATGTGGAGACCCTAAGAGATTTACTGGACAACTTCAACAGGTAAATGTGCATCAGGACGTGTACTATACATAAATACACATGGGTGCCTATGTGCCAATCAGTTACTAATAGGAAGGTAATCGTCCATGGATATTAGAAAGAAGATTTATCCCACCACAGGCAAAAACCTATGGAGGAGGAATCCAGGTCTTATCAATTGATAAATTAGGCAATAATTATTTGTTAAGGATTATACAGACTATCTACAAAGAATAAAATGCCGGAGCCAGAGTTGAGGCACAGCAAGTTAGCCACCACTTGCAATGCTGGCATCCCTCATCAGAGTGCCTATTCAAGTCCCAGCTGCTCTGCTTCTGATCCAGCTCCCTGCTGATCCACTTGGAAAGGCAGTGGAAGATGGCCCAGGTGCCTGAGTCCCTGACACCCATGTGGGAGACCAGGATGGAGTTCTTGGCTCCTAGCTTTGGCCTGGGCCATTTGGAGAGTGAATCAGTGAATGGAAGATCTCTGTTTCTGTCTCTCCTCCTCTCTTTGTCACCCTGACTTTCAAATATATGAAAAAATCTTAAGAAAGGAAGGCAGGCAGGCAGGCAGGCATGCCTCACCCGAGATAGGAGAAACGATTCCTAGAAAGAGACTTTTATGGCCCCGAAGAAACCTCAGAAGATGGTTACCACAAGGTCAGAAAGGCAATTGTAAAGACGCCCATGAAAACACAAGTGAGAATCCCATGAGAACCGTGAACTCCCAGAGGGTGGAGGTGAGGGCTTGCAGAAATGCTTCTCTGTGGCTCCAATCTCCATGCAGCTGGCCCAGAACCACGCTTGGTCGATGAGCCGCTCTCTCCACTTCTGTCCACAAACACAGCCGCCAGTCGGGCTGTCTTTGACTCCTTACCCCTCAGCCAATCCACCTAGTCCTTTAGGTTGTACCTTCAAACTACATACAGAGATTCCCCACTACCCCATCCCAAATCCACAGGGCGTGGGTTCTCAGATGCCCTACACATACCAAAATCTGAGGATGCTTGAGTCCCAATGGCATGGTATTTGCATATAACCCGCACGCAACTTTCTGTATACTTTACGTTATCTCTAGATTACTTACAGCACTTAATACAACAAAAATATAAGCAGCTGATACACTGTGTTTTTTAAAGGAATAATGGCATGGGGAAAAGTTTGTACATGTTCAGTATAATAGCAATTTTTAAAGATTTATTTATTTGAAAGGCAGAGTTACAGAGAAGGAGAGGGAAAGACAGAGAGAGAGAGAGAGAGAGAGAGAGATCTTCCATCTGCTAGTTCACTTCCCAAATGACCGCAACAGCCGGCCAGAGCTGAGCTGATCCAAAGCCAGGAGCTTCCTTCAGGTCTTCCACATGGCTGCAGAGCCTAAGGACTTCAGCCACCCTCCGCTGCTTTCCTAAGCGCATTAGCAGAGAGCTGGATCAGAAAATTGAGCAGCTGGAACTCTAACCAACATCCATATGGGATGCCAGCATTGCAGGCAGCAGCTTTACCCACAACACTGACTTGAAGATGGTATTTTTAAAAAGATTTATTTATTTGAAAGGCAGAATGATTTTTTTTTAAAGATTGATTTATTTATTTGAAAGGCAGAGTTACAGAGAAGCAGAGGAAGAGAGAGAGAGAGAGAGAGCAGTTTTCCACCCGTTGGTTCACTCCCCCAATGCCTGCAATGGCCAGAGCTGCGCTGATGGGAAGCTGGGAGCTGGGAGCCAGGAGCTTACTCCAGGTCTCCCACAGGGGTGCAGGGGCCCAAACACTTGAGTCATGTTCTGTTTTCCCAGGCCATAGCAGAGAGCTGGATCAGAAGAGGAGCAGCCAGGATACGAACTTGTTAGTTACATTTAGTTATATATTCCTGAGAGAGAATAGTCTGGCAGCTAATTATAAAATGCTCTATAGTCCATAAAAGGAAGCAATCATTGTTTACATTTATTTCCAAGTAAGGAATACTTTTATCTTTTCCTCATATATTTTACTTATTTCTTTCTTCATTTTTAATAAAGGCAAGCTCCATGAAGCAGGGATTTTTGTGTTTGTTCACTGTTATGCACTCAGCACCTAGCTAGTGCCTAACTCATAGAAGGTACTGAAAAATACACACAATTGAGTGAATGATTTGCTTAGTGTTTAGAAATGTTACCAAGGGTAAGCATTTAGCCTAGAGGTTAAGATGAACCACGTCACCGGGTCAGTTAGCCTGTAATGCTGCCATCCCATATGGGCACCAGTTCGAGTCCCCTGCCACTCCACTTCCAATCCAGCTCCCTGCTAATATGCCAGGGAAAGCAGTAGAATATGGTCCAAGTGCTTAGACCCCTGCACACATGTGGGAGACCCAGAAGAAGCTCCTGGTTCCTGGCTTCTGCACAGTCCAGGCCTGGCTGTTGTGGCCATTTGGGGAGTGAACCAGTATATGGAAGACCCTCCTCTCTGTCTCTTCTCTCTTTTTCTCTCTGCAAGTCTGCCTTTCAAACAAATAAGTCTTTTATTAAAAAAAAGATATCCATGTCCCATATTGGAGTGCCTCAATTTGGCACCTACCTCTTGTTCCTGACTTCAGCTGCCTGCTGGTACAGAACCAGTGAGGCCATGGTCATGGCTCAAGTAATTGGAACTGAACTGATTGGGGTTCTCCGTTCCCTGCTTCAGCCCCAGGCAGGGACTACTGGAGACATCTGGAGATGCCTGGCAGATGGGGGCACTCTGTCTCTCCAGCTAGCTAGCTATCTCTGCCTCTCACATAAATAAATGTTTCCTACATGTTTTTAAATGCTACCACATAGCAAACAAGGGTGTTGTCTTTCAATCTCTCCAGAGCTCGCCTTTGCATGTGCGATGCCTCAGTGGTCAGGAGTTGTCCTGAACTTAATTATCACTGAAAAGCTTTGTAAAGTCTTGTTTACAGGCAGTTGCCTATTGTTCGGTCTGATCTTGGACCAAAGCTATGGGTGTATGAAGTTGAGTCAGGAGAAATGAGCAGCGTTTTGAATTTCGCCTTTGGCTTGCTCGTTTTAGACTGCCCAACCATCCACATCGTTTGTTCTGGAAATCTGATTCTTTTGAACCCCTGGATTGAAAACAGTCATTGCTGCTCCCCTCCCCGGTGTTTTATTAGACACAAGAGAGCCGCTCAAGTGCTTTTGCTTTCCTCTGGCCTTTCCCGGAGTTTTCCCGACTGACCAGTCTGGATGTGACTGTGTCCTCTCCAGCCATGGGCAGGGACTGAGGCTCAGAACACAAAACGTGGAATGATTGTGACACTTCAACCAGACGGGAAACGGATTCAGGGAGTAACATCGCTGCCTCTTCCGTTGACTTGAAAGACCAATGAACACCCCAACAGAGACACATCAGCATTCAAATTAGCATGAAGGCAAAAGCAATCAAACCTTAAAAACAAAGGAGAGCAGGCTTGCACATTTTAGGAGAAGAAGTAAGGTACAATGGTTAGCGTGCGGCTGGAATCAAGACTATCTGGGTTCATAGTCCAGCTCCACCACTTAACTAGCTAGGAGGTCAGGCTAGTTCTTTTCTCTAGGTCTCAGTTTCCTCACCTCTGAGAGTCTATTTTATCAGTTACCAGGATAAAATATTATATGTGATATGTTTATAACCTTGCCTAGTATAGGAGCTCAATAAATGTTAACTATTGATTGTTAGTTGTTCTGTGAGTGTTAAAGAAAAAAATCCGGACAATTTTGTTGTGAACAAGTATCAGCACATTCTTACAATCATGCATGCAGGGAAAAAGGCCCCAGTAGGCCAACTCAGAGACACTTTGTAGGAGGGAGAATATTCAATCAAAAATGAAAGGAATGCCAGGTTAGAAGCCCCTGAACTCTTTTCTGAAGATCAGCTGAGAGTCAACTGAGTGGGTAACTCATTTCCTAGAACAAATCTTCATTTCATTAAAATTCAGTGGGAACTTGCATAAACACCTTTTTTCTTTTCAGAAGGAGGTAATGGATTTTCATCACACAGAAAAATTCGGTCAGATACCAGATGTGAGATAATTTTTCTATTACAGGAGAGAGGTGCCTTAGACACTCTCTCACCATTCGCTTGAAGGTGTCCTATAAAGGGAGAGCAACGGTGAGTCTTATTTTCACCCTAAAAGTAAGAGAACGAGGCCTCCTCCCCAAAGTAGACCCCGTTCCCATGATTGGGTCATATGATAAGACAACAGGAGAGTGTAAAGGGAATCCCATTCATAGTCAACAATCCAGTGATATCACGGAAAGTATATAGTCTCTGAGCCAAGCTGACTTCCAGTCAAATCCTGGCTTGGTCAAGTTACTTAACTTCCCACTTATCTAAAAACAGGGATAACTATTTCATAGGGTTATGGTGGATAAGGCAAGGAAAAAATATACCAAGTAGCCAATATAGCACTGATATGTAATATAATTCAATGCAACCTTAATTTCCCTTTTTATTCCTATTCCCCTCTCCTCTCTATCCACATTGCTCTCTACAGCCAGGCTCTTCAATGATTGAGCTCTACTACTACCCATTCAGCCTCCAAGCTGGTTGCCACACCCCCATTTCTTGCATTTGCCAGAAATTCTCAGAAGGAGAGTTGACTTGGCAATAATCAGCCTCTGCCAAGCACTCCAAATGGTTACATTAAAGCCACCCCCTCCCCAAAGAAGGTGTTATCTTCTAGTGTCCCCACATGTTCAGTCTTCGGGGTTCCAGAACAATGGGGGATTCCTCGTGTGGCTGGGAGCTCGGCCCTTCTCGCTCAACTCTGGGCCATGCTTTGTGGCCTGAGTTCATATCCACAGTGTGAACTCAGATCACGTACCTCCTGACATACATCCTCTACCCCTAACCACAGGATTCACAGGTTCCTAGTGGCTGGCGGGGGGCAGGTACAACATTATTTCCTCTTTTCCTGCTCCCAGTCACAGAATAAAAATTCACATGCAGATAAATAAATCTTTAAAGAAAAAAAAAGGGGGACCCAGCACTGTGGTGTAGCAGGTTAAGTGGCCACCTGCTGTGCCAGCATCCCATATGGGCGCTGCTTCCAATCCTGGCTGCTCCACTTCCGATCCAGCTCTCTGCTTTGGCCTGGGAAAACAGAAGATGGCCCAAATCCTTGGGCCCCTGCACCCATGTGTGAGGCCTGGAAGAAGCTCCTGGCTCCTGGCTCCTGGCTTCAGATCAAGGCAGCTCCAGCTGTTGCAGCTGATTGGGGAGTGAACCAGTGGATGGAAGACCTCTCTCTCTCTCTCTCTCTCTCTCTGCCTTTCCTTCTCTCTGTGTGTAACTCTGACTTCCAAATAAATAAATAGATCTTTAAAAAAAATTTCACATGCATTGGATTAGAGACAAACAACGTAATGGTGTGTGTTCGAGGGAACTTCAAAATGCTTGTGGAAAATGTGTATTATGAAAAAACTATGCAAGTATTTCAAAAATTTTTGCACTAAAAATAAACTTATCTTTAACTCTATTTCTCCATGAACTTTTAAAAAAATTTGGCAAAATTTATTTGAGAAACAGAGAGAAAGAGACAGGCGAACAGAGCTGCCTCTACTGGTTTATTCCTCCAAATGTCCACAGCAGCCCAAGTTGGGCTGGGCCAGAGCCCGAAGCTGGGAATCCAACCCAGGTCTCTCATGAAGTTGGCAGGGACTCGATTACTAGAGATATCACTTGCTGCCTCCCAGGGTCTGCACTAGCAAGAATGTTGGAGTCAAGACTTGAACCTAGACACTCTGAGAGGGGGCACAGGTGTCTTAACCACTTTCTTCACCCAGGGGCCAAATGCCTGCCCTTCCCACAAACTTTTTGAAATACTCTTCATAGGGGAGAGGTTGGAGAAGGGGTTATTTATTAGAAACAGCCCCCTATGCTCCGTTACAGAATAAGCCTTTGTTGAGTACTCGCTCTGAATTTAACTATACCCAAGAAAGTATGAAAACAGACTTGGTCCTTATTGCCATTTGCAGACAACTGAGAGGAGGAAGCTGCTCCTTGATGCCAAGGCGGTTCATGTCTCACTCTGTGTTTCATTCCCCATAGCCTTGCACATAATGGTATCTCAGTCTCTCCAGGCAGTGTACATAAACAGGTGCAAAGTTCTCATTAGCCAAACTAATATCTAATAATAATAAACCCTGTGATTCTTGCTAGACCTAAACATCCATGATGAAGGATCAGGGTGCTGCAAACAGTGGCCTATGCTGTGAGGGAGGATAACCAAATACGTGCGTTGTCAACAGTAGAGAACAGGCTCCAGTCATGAAAGGAGAACCAGTGAAGAAGCACCAGCACGTAGGCAGCGCGTTGAGGATGGCTGTTGGTCGGGCCGAGCACGAGGAGTCACAGCTGTTTGCAAATCCAGAGCAGGCCCCCAGCAGCAGCAGTCCTGGTTAAGTCGGGCTGGGCATGCAGAGATCTTTGCAGGTCAAACAGGCCTGTTTATTACTCTTGCTTTGCACTTCACCAAGTACAGAGCTAGTAGGAACACTAAGCAAATTCTCCTTCCAAGTTCCGCATTTCAAAATCACGACACAGACTAATCAAGAAGTTCCAGAGCAAAAAAATGAGTGATTAAATTTTTGAAAACTAAGTCTTATGAGGAGATGTGGCTGAGCTGGGCCATGTTTTCTTTGTAATGGAAGAGACTAAAGGGAGCCATACGTCTTTACGGGTACAAAGTCGTGCTGCAGAGAGAGCAACATTGTTTTACTACCTCCACATCTAGTGGACAGTTAAAATAATAAAGGCGTGGTGCCCACATTGCTTTGTGAGTGCTGATAAATCCATAAAGTAGGCAAGGAAGACCACCACAGGCAGATTCTGCTCCACTTTGGGCCAAGGCTGGCCTTTGTTCAAGGTGTTTTTCAAAAACCCTGTTTTTCCCCTACTAGAATAAACAAGAACTACCCCCACAGAAGCCTTGGAAACAGGAAACAGCACCCTGACCTCTCACGCAGAAGGAATCAAAATAGAAATAATGGGTTGTAGGACAAAGCACTAGAGTGAGGTGGGGGTGTAAGCCGTGAGCACTCTCTCGGATCCCTGTTACTCCTGTGCCTGTGAATTGGCAAGGTCTCGGGGTGCTGGGGTGAGTGGGGGTGTCTGTCCTCCATGAATTGTGTACACTGTAACTGATGCACACATCCCCAGTGCAGGTCTGTAACCTATGTAAGTGGGAGTGAGAAGCATGCAGGGCAACGTGGCTTCCTCCTGACCCTTTTCTTGCTTCCACCCATCCCGGGACAAAGGAGCACACCTTCTACAAAAGACCTGACAGCTTTTCTTTGGCGTCTCTGGCCAGCTCTTCTCTCACCCTAAGGAAGTTTATTCTATAGAGACTGGGGTCCAATATATAAAATGAGACCCAGTGAAGAAAGATGAAAACAATACAGCTGAGAATTAGGCAGGGGCACAAGCAGGGGAAGACAGGTGACAGGTCACTCCAGGAGTGAGACAGGTGACAGAAATGGCAAAGTGGGCCTGGAGGAGGAGCGGTGGGAACTGTGACAAACTGGAGAGCACACCCATCCGTCTCAGTTTGCTGGGACTGCCACAACAATGTAGCACAGACCAGCAGTGTCAGCCATATGCAAACTCTGAAGTTAAATTTCCTTCTGAGCATCCCTCTCCTGGCTGTGTAATGTCTGTCTTCTAGTGTCTTCATGGGGTCTTCCCTCTATGTGTGTCTGTGTTCTAGCCTCCTCTTCCTGTCAAGGTGCCAATCAAGTTGGATTAGGTGGAGCCCACTTACAGGACCTCATTTAACATTTTAACCTCTTTGAAGAGAAAAACAAGGCAGCCGCCCTCCGAAGGACTGCGGGTGAGGGCTTCGCCTGCTGGATTTGGGGAGACAATTCAGGCCCCCACCTCACCTGCAGAAAGAGCCTGGGTGCACCAGCCCAGCGCTGACAGAGCATCTTCTTTGTCAGGAGAAAGCAGAAATCTGGAACCTCACAGGACAGCCTCCATTTTTTTTTTTTTTTTTTTTTTTGACTTGGCCAACTAATGACTCTTTTGAGAGAACCTCCACTTTGACTATGACCGTGTCTAAACAAGATAAGAGTCGGAGAACTCAAGGGGCTTCCATAGCCTTGGAAACTCATGACTGGTGCATAGGGAGATTACTGATGCCATAAACAGGAGTGTCAATTTGTAAAGTCAACAACAGGAGTCACTGTGCACTTACTCCTCATGTAGGATCTCTGTCCTTAATGTGCTGTACACTGAGGCTTAATGCTATAACGAGTACTCAAACAGTATATTTCACTTTGTGTTTCTATGGGGGTGCGAACGATTGAAATCTTTACTTAATGTACACTAAACTGATCTTCTGTAAAAAAAAAAAAAAAGAAAGAAATTATCAATTCCCAAAAAAAAAAAAAAATACCACATGGGCTACAGTTAGACACACTTGGCAGCTAGTGCGTGTCTCTGCCATTGGACATATGGTTCCCAGTTGAACTTGCAGTGAGGGTGACCACTTGAGAGTCCTGAGATCAGGCAGTCTGGACAGTCGATCCCAAAGGCAGGCTGGCCAGCCTCCTGGCTCCTTCTCCCAGGAACATGTGGACTTTGACCTCCATGATGAGCAGGATCCAGGGAAGGCCAACCTGAAGAAGCAACAGCAAAGGAAAGAGTACCTTTCTCCCTAAAGCCTAGGTTCTGGGATGCAGCATCCTGCCCCAGGCCTCCTTGAACCTGGTTGGCCTTCCCAGGGCAGGAGATGGCACCAGGTTATCAGTAGCCTAAAGAGGAAAAGGTGACTGAACAAACCACTATGTAAAGTCAGAATGTTTAAACGTTTTCACCTTTCTTCCCCCTAGCACCAGCCCTAATAATGTCAATGACCCACATCAGCACTGTCCATCCTCAGGGGTACAGGATGAAGCAAGGTTTTCTTTGGAGGGGGCGGAGATGTACTGACAGTACAAGGAATAGTCTAGTCGGAAAGCCCAGTTCTGGGTGATGCCCTAAAAAACACATAGAATCTATGTGGCCTGCTCCATCACAGAGACATACGTATAAAGAGAACTGAAAGAAAGATACATATTTCAGAAAAGACATGACTTTTTTTTTTAAAGATTTATTTATTTACTTGAAAGAGTTACACAGAGAAAGAGGACAGAGAGAGAGAGAGAAGAGTGAGAGAGAGAGAGAGAGGTCTTCCATCCACTGGTTCACTCCCCAGTTGGCAGCAACGGCCAGAGCCACGCCAATCTGAAGCCAGGAGCCAGGAGCTTCCTCTGGGTCTCCCACGCAGGTGCAGGGGCCCAAGAGCTTGAGCCACCCTCTACTGCTTTCCCAGGCCATAGCAGAGAGCTGGATTGGAAGTGGAGCAGCTGGACTCGAACCAGCGCCCATATGGGACGCAGGCACTGCAGGTGGCGGCTTTACCCGCTGCACCACAGCGCCGGCCCCAAGACGTGACTTCTTGGGACTCAGGTGCAGTATGGTGCTGTGGAAGGACTGTGGGCCCTGGAGCCACCCTGGAGCCATAACACGCATGATGGTGCGCGGTCCCATGGAGCCCGGTAGCTAAAGTCCAGCAGGCCCCCCAGGGCTGTCAGGAGCTAAGAGGCACAGTACGCTGCTTACATTTGTCCAACGGGCAGGACACAAGCCAAGTCTGGAAGGGAGAATGGCAACATGAGGCACACAGGCAGAGGTCACCACCTAGTGCAGGCCTGGCCAACAGGGTTCCACCCACTTAGCGGCTCTTGCTGACAGAGGCTCCTGGGAGCATCATCCTGAGACCAATCTGCCACCTCATGGGTAGTGAAGAAAGTGCTGTGATCGATCAGCACTGCCTCCTTGTGAGGCACACGTTGGGACACAGACACGGAGACCAGCCTTGACCTAGGAAGCCAGGCAGTGCTAATCAAAGACCTAGGCTTGTGTTGGAGTATGGGCAGACCAGAGACTGTGGATGGAGTCAGTTCTAGCTGAATAGGGAGGCAGCTTGAGAAAGCAGGAGCCTGGTAGCTCCTGACATCAGGAAGCTGATACATGGGTGGCGAGATGGTCAAGCTGGACCAGTGTGGGGGTTAAACAGGAATCATGGGACTTCTCTGGCTGCCAAGATCTGACAACCAGGAATCCACAATAGAAACAAAAGAGATGATGTCATCTACCTGGTGAGCAAAACTGAAGCTTAGGAACCTGAGGGCCAAAGCAGAGGTGAGAGAATCCAAGACAGTGCTTTACAGGAGTTAACCAATAATCTAGAAACCAGAGAAGAGGTAGCAAACAATGGTTCTGCAGAGCCCAAACACACGTGGGTCCAGCACCCAAGTAGGGAACGCTCAAAGCAATAACTGTCATCATTTGTGGGTGCCTGGAGGGTGGTTTATTGGGCGGAAGAGCCAGGCAACAAGCAGTCTCGAACCAAGAGATCAGATGTGCACACCTGAGAGAGGGCCCAGCTGCAGCTGCTTGAGAAAATCTGGGTTTAAAAGTACCAGTCAGGACAGTGAGTTCACTTATTCCTCCTAACGGGTATGTACTAAAGAGCTGTGCTGTGTCAGAAGCTGAGGGATAACCAAGCATGTTCCTGAGCCCTGCAGGAGCTCAAACTCAAGTAATAGAAACAGGCAGCCAGCTCCCTGGTGAACGTGCTAAGGGTTGTGCTAGAGATAAACCCAGCGTGCGGGGGAACCCAGAGACATCAGCAACCCCCACTCACACTGGAAAAGAAGTGTGAGTTCTTTGGGCAACGGAGCCAGGACAGCAAGCACTCACATAATGTGACTGATGTGCACCAGGCTTTGTGATAAACACTTCACCTGCATCGGCTCCTTTCATCCTCTGAGGAAGGCACTGTTTTTTCCCCATTTTACAGAGAAAAGAACTGAGGCTCAGAGACTTTAAATAACTTGCTCAAGGTCTCACAGCTAGTAAGCAGCAGAGCTACAAATCAACCACTTGTGATCTACCTCCAGAGTGCGCCCTGCTGCCTCCCAAGGGAAGCTTGGTTAGAATTACACCTAACAGGCCAATCTTTCCAAGATTCCTCAGGGTTAAAATGCACCTTGGAGGTCATCCAGCCAAGTGATACCTGGAACACAGCCAGCTGAACTAATGCCTTCAAGAATCTTGATTTTACAAATTGTCCAGAACCCTCTGAGACTGCAGGACCATCACACTACAAAATCAAAAGAAACCAAGAATGAAGCCCAAGAGACAGAGGGCTCCTCCCAAGTCAATCACAATCCCTCGCCCAGTTCCAGAGGTGAGCCAGTTTGTGGACCTGGAATCTATTTATTGAAAGAGGTTGGAATCTTAGGAGGAAGGACTTGCAACATCATAAGAAATGTAATCAGTAATGATTCATCCAGCTCTGCCACAGAGATGTGTGGCCACTTGCCATAGGCACAATGAGGAATGGTGGGATAGCCAAACATTTTGAAGTCTGTTGAATACTTGACATTGACACCAGGAGACCCAAAATCTGATCATGACGTCCTGTTAGAATGAAGGCTGAAGTACTCAAGTGATAAATGGAGGTGATCAGGCCTATTTCTGGCTCATAGGCAGGCCCACTGAATCCATGGAACCATGCTATGGTCATTTTCACAGTCCCAAAAACATATATTGGATGTATCTCTACCTACGTTGATTCATTGGCTGTGGGTATAGTCAAGTGGGTGCATTAAGAATATTCCTGAGAACCATTGCTACTCAGAAATGGCTTATACTAAGCAGGAATGGCCACAAGGCACCCAACCCAAATGCATCCGCAATGCACTTTCCCTCACCAGGACCCCAACACCATCCAACACAAGAGTGAGCTAGAGTACAAACTTATTTTCAAAATCTCTCCAAATGAACACATTGCAAGGGCCCCTCCCAGGTTCTTGGGAGAGATATGTACAAATGAGGGACCCTGGGGCTTAAGTAGCATAAGTTTCTAGGTCAATTCACCCATGGCTGCCTGCCAAGAGAATAGGAATGTAGATGGGACCAGGGAAGGAGCTGGACAGGAGTGCTTAAGTGATATTGCACTATTCAGAACCTCTTTTCTATTCCTCTATGAATGTTTTCACCCTGTGGAAATTGCCAAAGGCTTTTTTGTTTGGTTATTTTATCAAACTAGGTTCTATCAAATACTCTTGTAATTAGGAACAGTTTGTGAAATGCAGGCACTGGGAGGGGATCTGACTCCTTGTCTTTGGCCCAAAACAGCACTGGAAACCAATAGTCTGGCTCTGTTAGAAGGATCTGGACATTCTTGCCGTGGTCTAAATTTCAGGAGCTTTAGACCAAGGCCTGGGAGCTTGCTGCTTCACTTTTCCCTGTGTGCAAATCGATGATATTTACTCATTAGTGACTGCTAGATGAATGGCACTATTGAACTGCCAGATATTAGTATTATTGCTTTTCCTCTTTGATCTCACGGGCTATGATAAATTTATGATATCATAATTGTTTCCATGGCAGCAAATCATATTGTCCCAAACAGGGGACTTCGTGACTTCATGGCTGGATTGAGAAGAAGGAGAAATCGGATTGGGAATGAGAATTCTGCTCAAGCATAAATATCTTCGATGATAGCGAAGGGAATAGAGCAAATTACAGACAGGCAAAATTGCTTTTGGTTTAAATGCTCTTCTCACAAGTTCATCCCAGTGCAAAAACCCGTTCTCCAGGCATGTAATTTGTGTAATGATGCCTCCTTGCTTGAATTCACAGAAGACTAATGGTGAAGTTCATCTATTCCTGGAAGCTTTAGCAATGCTAATACTAATGGTTTTGCAGCAAATATATGGATTTCTGTTGTAGGCAGTTTTGTTCTTCTTTTTTTTTTTCTGTTTGAGTTGTATGTGTGTTGGTGTATGTGTGTTTACTCCCTCAAGGTTGTATCTCCACAAATGTATTTGAAATAAATCAGTTTCCAGACAAAAATTAAGCTTCTGTCATTTGAAAATCTGTCAAAACCCCTTTCCTCACTAGAAGCATCTGTTTTGCTTTACTTAG